CCAGAGCAAGGCCTCCCCCAAGGACTGAGATCGACCTGATAGACTCAGTCCAGGCAGGTCCAGTCCCCTCCTCCCAGATTGAGTCAAGCGTCCCTGCATAAGTCCCAGGTTTCAAACAGCTAACTCATGCAATGAGCCCAGGACCTTTATATAAAGGCCTTTATATAAAGAGAAATTATCCTTTTGCCTGTAATAGGACTTGCGTCTTGACTCCAGTTTTTGTGTCTGCACCAACCCCACATCTGACAGAGGACTGATCTCCAAATTATACAAAGAACTCAAGAAACTAGACATCAAAATACCAAATAATCCAATTAAAAAATAGGGTACTGATCTAAACAGAGAATTCTCAACAGAAGAATCCCAAATGGCTGAAAGACATTTAAAGAATTGCTCAACATCCTTAGTCATCAGGGATATGCACATCAAAATGACTCTGAGACACCATCTTACACCTGTCAGAATGGCTAAGATCAAAAACACTGAAAACAGCTTATGTTGGAGAGGATGTGGAGCAAGGGGAACACTCCTCCACTGCAAACTTGGGAGTGCAGACCTGTGCAGCCACTCTGGAAATCAGTGTAGTGGTTTCTCAGAAAATCGGCAGTCAAATCTATCTCAAGACCCAGCAATACCACTCTTGGGCATATACCCAAGAAATGCTCAATCATACCACAAGAGCACTTGCTCAGCTATGTTCATATCAGCATTGTTTCTTGTTCATATTCTTAATTAGTTGGTTCATTGGTTTGTAAAAGGCCTTTATATAAAGAGAAATTATCCTTTTGCCTGTAATAGGACTTGCGTCTTGACTCCAGTTTTTGTGTCTGACATTGCTGATTCTTGATTAGAAGTGCTTAAATGTTTACATAGTTACATAAAGTTACACACTTGCATGTGTGTTGCAGCTTGATTTTGTGTCATATGTTGTTTCCAACCCTAATATGACAAGATACCTACATGTTTTTCCTGAACACTATTAAAGCCAGACTTTTTTTTATATCTTGCTTCTCTCTTAAAAAGAAAAAATGGCAAATTCCATTCTGTAATTAATAGCATCTATCTTTGTGGCTCTGATTCTGTTGCTATCATAGCATTTGTACTGATATGCTCTGTGATATAACTTAGCTAACAAAGTTTAAGCTCCATTTGGATAGTGAGATGATTTCTAAAAAGTCCTTTTCTATTAGAGAGTTCCATTCTAGCTAGTATAGTCCTCCTCTTTTGTTTGAATCCAGGTTCTTTGTGTTTGATGTCACGTATGCACAGCAGGAAAGGAACATAGCTCTATGTTCTTGTTTCCATGCTCATTCAAGTTCTTATTTGGGGGTCTTTGTAGACTTGTCTGACTTTTGGGATTTAAGATCTAATAAGGAATGACTACATACTTAGCCCTGCTGTAAGAAAATAGAAACAAAAAGTTTATGTATGAGCCTTGCTCTTTAAAGGTCAAAGCAAGGTCACAGACATTAAGTAACACTGCTACCTTACTAATGCTATTATTATTAGAAACAGTATTGGTTACTTAAATTTTTTTTTGTCTGCAATTATGCAAGAATAGGACTAGAGTAAATAGCCAGAAGTTCTAGAAGAAATTCTCAGCTTGTTTTTCTAATTTGCACATGCTGACTAAGATCCTCAGAACTGGACTTACAAGAAGGCTAGTCCATATTTGTATCTGATCCTAGACTTCTACATCATCAGCATGGCAAGTTCTTTCCTACTTGTGACAGGTGAAATACTTATTTATTGAGTTCTCCTGGCTTCCTAATAGGGCTGTTTCTTAAAGGAAAAGACTTGTTTAATCAAACATGTGACTCATTTGCCCTTTAAAAAAAATTTTTTTTAATAGAGTCTCACTATATATCCTTGTTGCCTACCTGGAATTTGCTATTGTAGACCAGGCTAGCCTCCCATGGGGGTGTGCTCTACTGCGGCCTTCTCTTAACTGGTTTTTAGGGTTTCCTGTGACCCTGTTAGTTTGATGAATTAAGTTCAAATTGGCACTTCCCTCCTGAAAATTACTAAATAAGTTTTGATGTTAAAGTTAATTAATGGTCTCAGGTTTTTTTTCACAGTGCCTTAGAGCTTTAATAACTATATATTACAACTATAGTCCTGTATTTCTGTTCTAGGAGAAAATGAAATTGATCTTAAAAAAAAAAATTGGATGAAATCTCATGTCCCCAGTTGGCCTCAGACTCACTATGTAGCTAAGAATGGCCTTGATCTGATGCTCTTGCCTCCACTCTTAAGTGTTTTGGTTACAGGCATGTGTCATATTCCTGGATGTGAACTTGATCTTGAATATATTTCAGAAATTGGTTCTCCATTTTAATCTTACTATAGCCATAATTTCACTAAAACACTTCCTTAAAAATTTTTGTATTTTATATTGAGAGCCTTTATTTCCATAAAACCAATCTGTGATGTGAAGGAACTTTGGGTGTGTTTGGGTTACCTTCAAGTTCCAGCCTCACAGGAGACACTCCCTTGTCTGCCTGTAGTTTTTATCATGTTACCACTTTGCATCACCTAATTTGTAATAAAGGCATGCTTAGAGGAAGGGAGATGTATTATGAATATTCAAGTCAGCAATCATTTCTGTTCTGAAGGCCTGAATTTAAGCAGTCTACACATAGCTTTATATATGTTAATTATGTGACTAACACAGGGGAACATTTAAAACCTGTTCATTTAGTTCTTGAATGTAGTAAACCAGTCATCATCCTGTTGTAGAGAACACAGAACCTTTACAGCTCTTCCTAAGAACAAAATCCTGCAAGGCAGAGGGGCAAGGTAGCCTTTGAAGCAGTGGAGTACCAGACACCTAAGGGACGGGTTGTGAAAGAAGCAATGGCACACCTGTCCTGGAAGGGCTGGTTCTTACAGCGGCAGGGGAGGAAGCCTTCGGGAAAGGGAGAGCTTCCCCAATCTTACTCTTTGTTGCATTTCCTGGTTTTGTCGTTTTTTTCTTATCGAAGTCAAGTAGAATTGTTTATTTAGATTATATTAGGTCGTTTGGCATTTCCCCTTATGTTTAACCAAAGCTGCTGCTTCTTTATCAATCTGTTTCATAACTTCAAAAATGTTTTCTTCTGAGGTCTTTCTGAAAATCTCTTCCAATTAAGAGTTTACTTTGTTGAGTGTGATGACTCAGCCTGCAGTCCCAACTACTCAGGTAGATTCTGAGACAGAAAGATTTCTTGAGCCCACAGATCAAGGTCACTCTAACAACATAGAAACTGTCTCTTAGGGGAAAAGGGACTTTGTCTAATGGGGCGGGGGAAGTACTCTTGTAAATCACCTTGAAAAAAGGCATATGTAAAAAAATTATTATCATTTACAAGTTACAAATGTTGTATTTGGATTCTCAAGCATCTACTCTGATTAATGATCCATACAACATGGAAAACATCAAAGTAATAGGACACTGGAAATAGGGATTTCTATTCAGCATTTGTGAAAATGAATGACAAGAAATCAGTATAAAATCTGTCATCCTACTTGGTCTTCTGAATTAAATCTTAGTAGTTACCTTTTCCCTGTCTTTAGAATTAGTGAGCAACTATTTGTCAAAAGAAAACCTAATGATGGAGCCTGTGTAGTCTTCCTTCTCAATTTGAATTGAGAATCCTGGTTTACTCCTATTATTTAAAAAAGGTTTGCGATTGAGATAGTATGGGAGCATAGAAAGAAGACTTTTTTTTTTTTTTTTGGTTGTAAGCCTAGCCTTTAATGGCTGAGCCATCTCTCCAGCCCAACTTTTGTTTTTGTTTTTGTTTTTTTTTAAGGTACATATATGGAAGAGGTTGCCTTCTTAATCAAAGTATGAGACCTCTCAGACCTGCTCAAGAACTGCCTTCTGAAGTTAATATTTTAATGTTTCCATTACTAGCTATTGAACCCAATATGCATTAAGAAAGGACATTACCATTGAGCTATATCCCTAGGCTAGATTTTCAAACATGAAAAATACTAGCTTCAGGGTTCTGGAGTTTCCAAATGATTTTTGTTTTTGTTTGTTGTATGTGTGTATCTGTCTGGATTTTGTTTTCAAGATGGCACCTTTTTGTAGCCCAGGCACTGCCCTCAAACCAGCCTGCCCTCCCAGATTCCCCAGTATTGGGGTTAAAAACACGCCAGTATACCTGACTCACTTCTTTTTAAATGATTTTAAAAAAGAGTAACATGTATGATGGTTATGTTTTTATTTTTTTATCCTTTATTGTTTACTTTAATAAAATATAACAGTATCCAGAGTTCAAGCCTCTGTTAAATATCTAGTTGGTGAGTAGAGTGTAGCATATGCTCTTTACATAGCATCTGGCCTATTCAGTTTTTTTAGCAGTAATTATAAAAATGAGTATTTCATGGTGTTTATGGTAGGAATAAAGACCAAAGTCATTATATTTTTTGCTGTATTTATAAAATCCATCTATTGCCTCTGATTAAAATATTAAATATAGCCAGGCGGCAGTGGGACACGCTTTTAATCCCAGCACTCGAGAGGCAGAGCCAGATGGATCTCTGTGAGTTCGAGGCCAGACTGTTCTACAGAGCGAGATCCAGGACAGGCACCAAAATGACACAGAGAAACCCTATCTCGAAAAAAACAATTTTATATATGTATTTTATATATATATACATACATACATATATGTGTGTGTGTGTGTGTGTGTGTGTGTGTGTGTGTGTGTGTGTATCTTGAGTAAATTAGACCTCTAATATCTTTTTCTTATATTTGTGCGTACATGCATGCCAAGGTGCTTGTGGAGGTCAGAAGACAACTTTCAGGGGGCAGTTCTCTCCTGCCATGTGGATCCCAGTGATAGAACTCAGGTCCTCAGGCTTGGCAGCCAGTGCTTTCACCTCACTGACCACCTTGTCCACTCTCTAAGTAATATCTTGTAAAACTAAGAAAAATATAGACCAGTGAAATATTGGTTGGAACAAAACACATCAGCAATATTATGTTAATCTATTTGTTGTCTTTTCAGGCTCATGAGAGGCTTGAAGATTCAAAATTAGAAGCGGTCAGTGACAATAACTTGGAATTAGTAAATGAAATTCTGGAAGATATCAGTCCTCTAATAAGTGTGGATGAAAATGTGGCAGAACTGGTTGGAATACTCAAGGAACCTCACTTCCAGGTAACCTGTCCCTGTCCTCTTCCCACAGTTTTCTTCTTCCACACTGAAGTAATGCAGTGTTGTGTAGGGCCTGTTTTAGAAGTCTGTAAGTCCTAAACTAGGTATTCTTTTGTTTGTTTGTTTTGTTTGTTTTGGGTTTTTCGAGACAGGGTTTCTCTCTGTACTTTTGGTGCCTGTCCTGGAACTCACTCTGTAGACCAGGCTGGCCTCAAACTCATAGAGATCCACCTGGCTCTGCCTCCCAAGTGATGGGATTAAAGGTGTGTGCCACTACTGCTGCCGCCTGGTTTAGACTAGGTATTCTAATATCCTGATGTTAAAGGAACGTAAACACACATACATGGCTATGTACATCACAAAAAATGTACAGTGTATGTCACAGAAAGAAATAAGCTTGGCTTTTCTTTTGTGCTGTCAATTAACCCTGACCATCAGAAGACATCCCAGGAATAATTCTCCTCACTTTGACATTGTTGACGCCACTTTTTTTTATTTGTTGATTTAGCATTTTTTTGTTCTTTATTATTGGGTGAGGAGCATGTGCATGGTAGATACACAGAGGTCATAGGACACCCTGTGGGAGTCTGTTCTCTCCTTTTACCATGTGGATCCATCCCTAAGATTGAACTCAGGTGGTCAGGGTTGCTGCAGGAGCCTTTACCCTCTGAACCATCTTGATTCCCATTTTTTGTTCATTAATACCACTGTTTCTCATTCCTGCTTTGGCCTATTTTGGACCATTTTTTTTTTTTTAGTATTGCTACAGTATCTAGGTGAATTCAATGATACCCATGATAAAAAAAAAAAATGACAGGAAGTTTGCTAAGGATAGAAGCTGTTACATAGCATACTTTGTTCTATAGTTTTAAAAAATAAAAAAAGGTGGGAAATTTTTATTTTAAACCTGTAACAGTTAAGAGTGTATGGTAGTGGAGAATATTAGGAAAGTAACAAGTGACTAGGAACCCCAAAATGCATCTAGCCATGTGTGGCCACTCATGCTAAGACAGACACTGCATTTTAGTAAGGAAAAAAAATGCTATTTCATTGGCTAATTCCAAGTTACTCTCACTGAAGAAGAAAGCGTTAATGTTTTCCCTGCAATCTTTGCCCTCAGAATAAGATGGTAACACTCCTTTGCTTTCTTAAGACACTGTTTATGAGGGTCTAAGTGATTGAGTTCATGTAAGGCAGTATAAAGTATTTGAATTTTATCTTGAGGGCAGTGGAGAATCTTGGGGATATATATATATATATATATATATATATGAATGAATTTACAACTCTCATCTGTGGGATTCCCATTGCCCTATTTACTGTGGTATTTAGTTGAAGAGACTAAGCTTTTATCTTCAGTGTCCCACTTTCTGAGTTTTATCTGGTTGATTTTCTGATAAGTTCTGATTAAAGGGTTGATGATTCACTTCTTAAGTGTGGGGGACCAGCCCCCACTATTATTTATCCCAGGCTTTAGGTCTAAGGATATGAAGAGTAGGTTTTCCCAACCTGGGAAAAACAATATCCATAGCAGACTTGGCAGTTCCAAAGGCCACCAATAACAACAAGAAGCAGCAGCTCCAGAGACTGCCAGCTTCAGAAAATAGCAGCTAGGTGTCCATGGCTGAGACCCATGAGGCATCATCCAAGAGCCAGTGCAAGCTCCAGCAGCCAGAGGGTCTCAGAAGCTGAGACGCTCAAGGCATCAACACTGTGCAGGTGGCAGATGCACGAGGGTCTATAAGTTTTTTATAAAGAAAGCCGTGGTGAAAAATGAACAAGCCAAGCCACGAGAGAGGCTAAGGGCAAGCAGCAGTTTGGAAAGCCCCGCAGAGATGGCGCTACAGGAAAGGTGAACAGCAAGGTTCTACAGCCTTTAAGACACTACACCTAGAGAAAGACTAACAGCAGAGAGAGCCCAGCCTATATATTCTAAACCTACATTTTTCTGACTAAGTATATGACCTATTTAAACCTACATTCTATAGGACTACTTTATAAACCTTACCCAAGTCTCATTCAAGCCTACATAATGAACTTACATTCTATAGGACTACTCTACAAACACTAAGTCCTAATGAAGCCTTTACATTTCTTATTTAAACTTACATTCTATAGGTTTACTTTATAAACCTTACCTAAGTCTTACTTACATTCTATAGGACTACCTTAGTAAATATACTTCTTATACTACCTTAGCAAATATACTTATTTAAACTTGCATTTACAACCAGCATGGCCATTTATTACTGCATGTCTTAAAGAAATTCTATAGATTTATTCAAACACCTAGAAATTTCTTAATACCTAGAAGAGATTTAGAAAAGATATCTAGGAGAGATTTCTTAATTATTATCACTTTACATATAACAGAACTAACTTAACACTAAAACAAACATCTACAAGATACTTAACAACTAGAAAAGATTTTTTAGCTAAACTATTAACAAGACAAGAAGTAAGCAAATCATTTCTAAAGTTCAGAGTTTAGTCAGCTTTGATATTATACTAAAAGTTCTTCCGAAAGTTGGAAACAAGATTTGTCAATGGCTCTTTCAACATTGGGATTTAGTGAGTTCTTTTGTTATGGAGTTGTAACACTTGTTGCTAGGGAGCTGTCACATTCTTGGGACAAAGCCACACCCCAAAGTTGCCTTTCCCACCAAGTTCTTT